CAAATCCCTTTAAAAATTAAAACCCAACATTTGAAACATCAATTTGAATACTTTTCGAAGTGAATTTGAAAAACTCATGAATTAAACTCAACTTTATTTTGTTCAAACTTGCATTTGCTGTAATAATACAAATTGAGGAACATTCCTCATTGTAACAGTTATTTTCGCATCGAGTAGACAACAATAACAACAAAAATCGCGTCTGTCATATTGGATCATCAGATCTGTGATTACATATTAAAAACCAAGGCACTTGGCAACTCCGCTCTAGAAACGATCAATTTTATTGGTCAACAGACACGCGGCCAATTTAAATTCTTGCTTTTCGAATTGTTCTTTTTTCTGCAAATATAAAGAGATCTTGTGACCGATTAGGCTTGATGAGTATAATTTACCCTTAACTCAATCAGTCTATAAGCAAGCCAGTACCATTTTCCAAAGCATGAAACAAACCCATTCAGATGAACACCCTCCATTTCATTCAAATTTAGATAGGAAGTGCTTAATAAAAGACCCTTCACTCATTCAGTTAGTTAAAACTTTTTGTGTTTTTGAGTTCTTTGCCCACTAACTTTACCTTTTAGTGCTTTCTATTATCAGCTATGTCTTACCTTCCCTTCCATTTCTGAAATTTTATTTTCCGCGAAGTAAATGATTGAGATTCTGAGATTTATTTACACCTAACTTGTTGTTATGTGTTGTGTTTATTAACAACCTGGTTTTTGTGAATGAAAACAATATTTTCGTTGTCATATCAATAATCCAGCAATAGTTACTCGGTTGTGACGCATGATTCACTTTAATAAAAATACAGTTGTGATGGAAAATAATAATGAAATTGAGAAATATAATGTAGAATGACATATGTAAAATATGTGAAATAAAACGTGAGAAGGACATAATTTAAGCATTCAGCTATGTACTTTCAGCAGACATTCATTTTGCCTCTCTGTTTTGTTCTGTTTCATTCAACGAACGAACGAACGATTCATTTGCCCATTATAAATCGGAAATACTACTGAGTTCGGCATGCACTCTGTGAACACTTCCCGAACCTCTGTACAATTGCATGAAAAATTTGACATATTGCATTGTAAAACTTTCATCAATGAGTTACATAAATGATCTCTCTATCATCCCATCTCAAGAACAAAAACCAACGCACAATAACCACCATATCATCCCTTCCAAAACGCCGTGATTGACATTTCACTGTTCCGCGCTTGAAGAGCTCCTCTTGAGATGGTTGAGATTAAACAAGAAACATATTCAACACTTGAGGCGGAGATTGACACATAATCATAGATCATCTCGGCGGCTTGATTGATCGTTAAATGCATGTTTGCTGACAAAGACCATAGTTGTTTTGTTCCAGGGACGATGATAGGAGTATGATACTGTATAGCAAGAAGTGATTCAGCGAAATAATATTCAGTTCGGTACTTGTGATTGTTGAGAGCTCTTCAATATCAATTACAGAGTATATCTCAATTTGTAAATGAAGTGTTTCTCTTTAGTCAGAATGAAATGGTACGATCCCATCAAAACAGTATTGACTCTCTCTGTTTCTATGGAAAAGGAAAATCATAACAATTCATTTGTTTCACGTCACCAAACCAATTATAACGAGAGATTGGGATTATGCGAACTTCTCCAAAACATTCAACGAAAGTCTTTTTTTTTGTAGGAAAATCAGTTTTTTATCGACCTTTTTTGGGTATTTGTTACCTTCTACAATCTGAAAAATATAAAAATTGTAATGGAGAACTCTATACAAGTGTAGAAGGACAAACTTTTTAGTTTACCCCGATAAGTTACTGCGTAAAATCAAAGTATTTTTCACAAAAAAAATCTTCTATTTATCAGTAACTTGTCGTATTTAACAATTTTGCCTATAAAAAAAATTGCTAAGAAATAATACAATACTTATCTTAATGTTTCGGAGGCCAAAATCTGCCTCCGTCTTCAGAAATGAACAAAAAATTCTAAGATATTGCCAGTTATTCCTTTTTGATTATTTATTTCTTTACTTCTTTGACAGCTGTCAAAAGTGTTTTGAAATATGAAATTATGTCAATGTTGTTGTATGACAACTGAAACATTCGATGTAATACAAGGTGCTCTTCGATATCAGATCACGAAAATAACAGATCTTTTGGAACCTTGAACTCATAGAATTATTTTAATTCTCTTATATATTCCTAATGTGCGAAGGCAATCTGAACTTGTTTCTTTCCGAAGGCTGAAAGATGCTAGATGAAGATTCCCAAAGTGTTACGGAAGGAAAATCTTATCAATTATTGCTCTTTATTTCCATATGGAGAGATTCGAAAAAAGTTTGTGGAATATAAATTGTTCTTGCTGACTTCATTGACATGGAAGGTGTTTGGCACTTTCCATGGTAGTGATGGTAGTTACTTCATATTAGATGTTCAGAGAATGAAATGCATTACAGTGATCAGGTGGATCAGGTGGATTCAGTCAATGTTCGGAATCAAACTTACAGTTGCTTTTTTCAGGATTGTTAGGTTCATATTGATCTAAGCAATGAAGTTGTCACCAAAGAGCGTAATTGCTTTTGCCGAAGTGGTTGGTTGGGAAGTAAAAGTCAAAACTTTTTATTCAACAAAAAATCTATTATGGAGAAACGGAATTCATTTCATATGGGTATGATGAAAAATTATATCAAAAACATTAGTGTAAATCAATCTGCTGTATGGAAATCACACCGACCAATTTCTTTGTATTCTATACTGCAGCTTCGTAACTTCGGCTGAACTCTTTACCATTCAATATTTGATCCACAACAAAAAGAAGTGCCTTCAGAAGCTGTGCGGAAACAAAAATACTGGCCTCATTCTATTAGAAGACACAACCGACAAAAGTTGCACCAGGTAGGTAGCATTTTGAAGTGACACTGGTTAGAAGCAGTCTTCAAACATTTCTATTGTGAAACTCATTGAAATGGAATACTGACAGATATGATGAAAATGAATGAAATGACGTGGAAAAAACAATGAAAGTTCTTTGAATTTTTCGGAATGTCATAGCTACAGGTGCTTCGAAAGAGACACCTGCAATGCGCGAATCTAATCGGATAAACAAGCAATTGACTGTAAAGACATACACCTACGAGTTAGTATTGTATCTTCACTGCAAATGTCTCTGATTCTTTTGACAAAAAAGGGTGGGAAGCATCAAGGAAAATAGTGTTTTCGCAAAGCAGGAAGCAAATATTCCATCCACTGATTTGTCTCCATTCTGTGATGTCTCTCTAGAAACTCTACAATGTGAAAGAAGTTACATCTATAGATGAGTGTTCAACAGTTTTAATACTAGTTCTACTGTTTTTGACTATAAAATATTAGTATCTGTGGTAATACTACTACTGAGGGTTTGACAACGGGTCAGTTTGAATATACGATGGGTCTTTGGATGAAGCAACGTCAAGTGATTTATTTCGATGAGTAACTGGTTCATAAACGAAGTTTCTGGTTTATATCCTGACTCATGCTTCAGATCTTATCTATTTTCCTGAGTCTCTGTCTTCTGAACACTTCTGTGAATTGATCGTAAGGATGACTTGTTGAAGGTGATGAAGGACCTGAATGATTAGATCTGAATCATTACTTTATGAAAACTTAAAAAATGTAACCAAAGAGATTTGATTTAAACTGATTCGGTGACGTGATAATACTACATGGTTTCAAGTGAACAATGGTAATGTTGCACTTTATCTTTCTTGATGTAATACTACTGCGGAAATTGGGAAAGTAATTAAAATATCCATACAATAAACGAAACCTTTCTCTAGAACCCCTACTAGACATTTGTGACAGTCTGAAATAATATCTGCAAAGTACCGAAAACTTATTTAAACAACAAGCAATACAAAAACTTTTCTAATTTTCCGATTATATCGAAGGAATTTCGTTATCAGTCCCTGACCCTTCACATCCGAGAAC